TAGTCATGACTATGTCACTGTACTCCAGCCTGAGGTACAAAGTGAGATGCCGACTCAAAAACAAACAAACAAAAGTTGAAATAGTAAGAGGAGAGAAAAAGGACAGATGCACAGGAGTTTTAAAAGAAGTAGAAAGTGAGGGAGGGAAGAGGGAAAGGGAACCCAGGCTGATTAAATTCTAAATGCGTAATTCTGGTTTTACTACAAACTTGAACTTGGTGATTTAACAAGTAGAGAGATAGTTGGGTGAGAAGAGACAGACTTTGAAGACAGATAGATCTGGATTCTGATATCCAGTCAGCTACTGTGTGACCTTGGACAAGTGACACAACCTCTTCCATCTCACTGCTTTTTTTAAAAAATATTTTTTATTTTGAAGTAATTTTAGATTTACAGAAACATTGCAAAAAACAGTACAGCAAGTTTCCATATACCTTTTACCCAGCTTCCCCTAAAGGTACTGTGATTCAAAATCAGCCTGTACTAACTAATAATACTACTAACTCAACCATAAGCCTTATTAAAGGCTTTTCATTAATGCTTTTTTTTCCTAGTCCAGGACCCAATAGGACCTGACACTGCATTTATTTATTTGTTTATTTTTTTGAGTTGGAGTCTCACTCTGTCGCCCAGACTGGAGTGCAGTGGCCGCTCCCAGCCACCGCAGCCTCGACCCGCTGGGCTCCGGCGATCCTCCCGCCTCAGCCTTCCGAGTAGCCGGAATTACAGGCATGCGCTACCATGCCCAGCTGATTTTTTGATTTATTGTAGAGATGAGGTCTCGCTGCCCAGGCGGGTCTCGAACCCGTGGGCTCAGGCAATCCACTCACCTCAGCCTCCCAAAGGCACGAGATCACAGGCTGAGCCGCCGAGCCCGGCTTGACACTGCATTTAGATGTCATGCCTCCTTGTCTTCTCTTATCTCTGGTAGTTTCTTAGTTTTTCTTTACCGTGAATGACCTTGACATTTTTGAAGAGGGGAATGTTCTTCAGTTTAGGGTTGCCTAACTGTTTTTTCATTATTAGATTTAGGTTATGCATTTTTGGCAAGAACATCATAGCAACGAAGTCCTGCCCTTCTCAATGCATCATACCAGGGGTATACATTGACAGTTCTCATTACGGATTCTGTCAGCCTTGAACTTGGTTAAGGCCGTGTCTACTAGGTTTCTCCACACTTCTGTCTTTCCCTTTGTAATTAATAAATGTATTGTGGAGACATGATCTGAGACTATGCAAATATCCTATTTCTCAGCAGACTTAACTTTTGCCCAATAATTTTAGAATTCACTTTTGCCCAATAATTTTAGAATTCTCTAGTGGTTCTTGTCTGCAACAGTCATTAGTGCTGTGTTTTAATGATGATTTCCTATTTCCTCCGTTTCTTCTATATTTATCACTGGGAATTCTTCTATAAATAAGAGCTATAAGTGTCTCAGTATGGACCCAAGAATATTTATCTTACTCTGTGGGTCGTAATTCAGCACCATCACTATTTAGTTTGCAGTCTAAGCTTTACTTCCTTCATCTGCAAGACAGGGATAATGGACACTGGCATAAGGATTAAACGGGATTAAAAACTGGGACAATGTCCAGCCCAGAGCACTTATTAAATCAATGCAAGTTCTGTTCCTTCCTTTTCTTTACTGTATGTAAAGTCATTTGGCGGAAAGGCCATTCTAAACAGATGAAAATATAAATTTAATAATTCTCTTTTGATATAATGGAGCTTTTCTAGCATAAGCCATCTCAAGCAACTAGAATGTAGCCATCCCAGTGTTGCCTAGAGATCATTTGAGATCTGCTTAGAATGTCTATGTAAGACTGATTTATAATCAGTATACCATAATTTGTATGAAAATAGATGCTTGAGAATACTTGAAACAGACTGTTCTCTTAAGTAGTTTAAGTGATTTCCCAGAAATCTTGTTTACGTTCTGAAGTTGCTTAGCTAAACTATTTTCAGAGATAGTCCAAAAATTGCTTCCACTCAGCTGTGGGCTATATCATCACTAACTCTGAATTAGTGAAATCATTGATTCATCTTTGATTCCCAAGGTTATGGCAGTGAGTGGAAGAAATCCAAGTTTAATTTAAAATTAGATTTTACAAGTTCTAGCAATTTACTTGTAAGTTCAGGTCAAATTAAAAAAAAAAAAAAAGACATGACTAGGGCCCTAATGATATAACTGTAGGTAGATCAGGGCATTTAAAATAGCTCAGGAAATACAGTAAAATCCACTATTAAAATCACCCAATTTACTGGAACTTTCATGTTCCGTACCATTTTTATCAGTAAGGAAAATCAAGAACATCAGGAGATTTCTTTTTAAAAAAACAACTTCGGGGAAGGGAGTTTTGTCAGCTCTCATGTGGGCTCCCAGAAAGCCTGTCTTACTCAGTTTGGAGTGGGTCCAAGAGTCTGTGGTTTTAGATAGTACCACCCCCAACACCATCCCCATGCAGGTGGCGGGCAGGACACTGCAGCGATTCAAACCAGTTTGAATCTCACAATTGCCACCTCCCACTTGTGTAAGCTTGGGCAAATAACCTCCTCTCCGCTTCTCTCAGCTTCTCTTGGCTAAGATGGGGCTCATGACAAGACTGTCTCCCAAGGTAGTTGTAAGGAGCAAATAAATGGTACATGCAATAAACAGACCACCAATAAATGGTTAGCAGGACAGCGCTAGGTGTAGATCAGCAATTCCTATAGATAATTGATCTATCTCTGGACACAGAACCACTTGGGCTCAGCCATTAACACATTCTGCATTCACGGGGCCTTATCCTGTGTCCCTGACACAGCCATCATCAGGGTCTCAATTGGCAAGCTATGGAGCTGCTAGAGTGTGAAGGTGTATAAGTAACAAGGGCTGACAGAGCCTCTGTCAATCAAAGACCTATGTGACCCAGAATGGCACTCAGCACTTAGGTAGAGTTTACTTAAAGACTAAAACGGAAAACGACTATGTGTTTGCAGAGTTCAACCAAGCAACAACCAACCAACATGCAGATTAAAACTTTGTGATTTAATTTATTTTCTTTTGAGTTGGAGTCTCACTCTGTCACCCAGGCTGGATTGCAGTGGCACACTCACCGACACCACAGCCTCAACCTGCTGGGCTCAGGAGATCCTTCCACCTCAGCCTTCCAAGCAGCTGGAACACCAGGTGCGCGCTATGATACCCAGATAATTTCTAAATTTATTGTAGAGATGAGGTCTCACCAAGTTGCCTGGGCTGGTCTCGAACCCCTGGGCTCAGGCAAACCTCTCGCCTTGGCCTCCCAAAGTGCTGGGATTACAGGCTTGAGCCAACGCACCCAGCCTGTGATTTAATTTCAAGGCAAAAGAAATGAAATCTATGAGCTTCAAGTCGGGGTAAGTGGGGTGAAAAACATCAAGTCTAAAACAAATAAAATGTAGAATAGAAAACTCTGGGTGTGGGGTCACACTGTGAAGAGGAAATACCCTTTAAGCCTGAGAGGCAGCAGGCCCGGAGCCCAGTACAACCTGGAGGCCGGCCCCTCCTCCCCACCCCTCTTCTTGCCCCAGGGCCACAGGGATGTCAGCCAGTGGCTCTTTGCCGCCCAGTGAATTTCTAGACCCCATCTAGTGGCCCTGTCCTAAGTGTTCCCAGACTTCAGTCACGTGTCTCCTCTTCAGAACTGGTCTGAGACGTTGGGGTGACGTTCTGGGGCCGAGGATCTTCAAGGGATGCAGAGAGGAATGGGGTGAGTCACTGCCCCTCAATAACTTGTCCTACAATTCCTCCCTGCTCTCTGACTCTGGTGTGTTGGTTCTCAACTTTCTGCTGAGGAGACCTGATGGTGGAGGAGGCGGGGGTGGGGTTAGATGTGGCCAGGGATCATGTTGTCAAAACTCAAAATTGAGACATCGGGTCTTAAAAGCACCTGTGGGAATCTGTGGGGTGTGGGGAGACCAGGGATTGAGAGTCTGGTTGTCCAAAGGGAGAAGGATGGAGTGAGAAAGGAGATAGCCAGAGAAAATCTAGGAAGGCAGACAGGGCCAGTCACAAGTATTGAACTTCTGGCAGGCCTCTGGGCTGATACACTCACATTGGTAAACAAGCTCCCTATAAACCACTCAAGCTGGAGCTCAAATACTCATGATGGGATAGAAAAACAACCAATCGACTCATTGCCAAGAGCCAACCAATCAGGTCACCATTAGGCCTGTACCTCCTGCTGATTGGTCCTTAGTACTGACCAAGCAGCACTGCTAGTGCCAACCAACAGCTAGTGTTAGCCAATTGGCTAGGTCTTAGGGCTATATAACATAGCACCAGGTTTTGGTCCCAGGCTGGCAACCCTCTTTGGTCTCCTTGTAGTGTGGGAGCTTTTCTGTCCTCTCAGTAAATCCTGCTTTCTCACTTTCCAGCTGTCAGTGTCCCTCATTCCTTCTGGATATGAGACAAGACCCCCGAACTGAAGAGGTGCAGAAGATTGTCAGAGCCAAAGATCCACACAACCTGGAGGACAACTTGCCAGCTGACAGAGTTCGCTGTACTGGGAGAGCTTCTGGCAGAAGGCAAGACTCTGAAGCTGAGATACTACTGGGGGCTGTAATGCTCTCAGGGCTTGCTTGTCAGCCCATTAGAGACAAGACTCCTGGGGTTAGGCCTGCCAGCCCATCGAACTGAATGGAGAGGCAGGTGAGACACTCTCTGGGGCTCAGCTTGCTGACCCATTGAGCTGACATTCTCGAAGCCCAGGCTGACCTGAAAAATCTGTATCAGAAGGAGTAGTGAACTGGGAAATGGTGTGGAACGGAAGTAAGGTCAATCAGACTCGGGGCAGGTTGGGTGCAGTGAGGGGGAGGATGAGCCTGCTCACTGCCTAGAAAGAAAAACAGTTGTCATAGAGTGGCAAGAATGGGGAGGCAGATGAGACATCATAACAGACAAACCAGAAGGAGAAATACACTGAAAAATCACCCACTGGCAAGTCAAATACCAAGACATCCAGAAGTGGCTTCTTACCTCGTTAAATCTTATCACGAGATCTTCCAGGGCATTGTGCTCTCCTTTCTGGGAGGCAAGGATGGATGCTGAGATGGATGCTTTGAGGCAGGGCAGGGTCCTCTGGCATTCTGGAGTGCCCAAGTCCCGGGTTAAGAAGCAAAGGTAGTCGACTGGCAGGACTCTTCGGTAAATATTCTGCTCCTGCTCCATCAGGATGCTGGCGACTTCCTCTGGGAACTGGATGAGGGGCTGCAAATCAATCAGTTCCTTACTGATCCCAGCTGAACTTGAAGGGAGGGCATTGGAATTGGCCATAGAGGGGCCCGGCTGGCGTTCTGAAATAAAGTCACAGCAGTCACAGTTACACCAAGGTGGGTAACCCCTACAACAGACATGATTTGAGAGCCATTCAAAATCTTGTAGTTTCCTTTGCTTGATGGGAAGTTCTATACTGTTTGTGTTGCTATGGACTCTGATATCTGTTTTACCTGTCCGCCTGCCTCCTAATGAGTCAGGGTAGAAGCTTAGTTTTCCATTGTCAGGAGCAGCGTTAATCTAGGGCTCATCCTTTGTGTTCTTTGCAGCGTGCCATTTGCTTCCTTATCTTCCTTTGCTAACCATCAGAGCAAAAAGAAATGAGGGTGGGTGTGAGCACAGCCACCTGAAATGGGAAGGGGAAGAAGGCTGTGAGGTGGGGAAGCATGGACAAGAATCCGTATGTTGTGTGTGAACCCTCTGGAGACTCAGGGACCCGGGGCCCTCTGCACACACGGTTTCCAAACGTCATGGTCTACTCTGCCAACTCTCCATCCTCAGAGGGTGACTTTGGTTCCACTGAGATCTATGTGGGGATCTGCAAGAGTAGAACACCAATAAAAGGAAAGAAGGAGCCAGGTGTGGTGGCTCACACCTGTCATCCCAGCACTTTGGGAGGCAGAGGCGAGAGGACTGCCTGAGCCCAGGGGCTCGAGACCAGTCTGGACAACTTGGTGAGACCTCATCTCTACGATAAATCAAAAAAATTAGCTGGGCAAAGTGGCACACGCCTGTGGTTCCAGCTACTTGGAAGGCTGAGGTGGAAGGGTCACCTGAGCCCAGTCGAGGCTGGGGTGGCCGTGAATATACCACTGCACTCCAACCTGGGCGACGGAGTGAGACTCCAACTCAAAAAAAAAAACAAACACACATAAAAACAAAAAAACAAAGTATTATTACTGCAGGCTGGGTGCAGTGGCTCACACCTACAATCTCAGCACTTTAGGAGACCGAGGTGAGAATATCGTCTGAGCCCAGGGTATCGAGACCAGCCTGGGCGACTTGGTGAGACCTCGTCTCTACGATAAATCAAAAAAATTAGCCAGGTGTGATGGCACACGCCTGTGGTTCCATCTACTTAGAAGGCTGAGGCAGAAGGATCGCCAGAGTCCAGCAGGTTGATGCTGGGGTGGCCGTGAGCGTGCCACTGCACTCCAGCCTGGGTAACAAAGTGAGACTCTGACTCAAAAAAAAAAGTAAGGAAGGAGCAGGTGAATAGGAGATGTATTAAATAAATCAATCTCCCTCCCTGGTCTACAGCTGGTAGCCAGAAGGTGGCAGAGGGCTGGAGGAGAGAAGGCACATGAGATGGGAGGACCAAAGCGGGGACTGAAGGCTCAAAATGATCCCCTCCCTGGAGATGCCACCATGCCTCCTCTTTATTTTGACACCCGCCCAGGTTGCTTCTTAACTTCCTGCCTATAACTCATTGATTCATTCAACAAACGTTGAAATGATGATGAGCCTTAGAACGCAGTTCCCCAAAGTATAATCTTTGGAATACTGGTATTTGCAAGAAAAATCAGTTTTGTGGCTGCCTAGGTTGGAGAAATGTCACAAACTCATGTCATGCACTCTCTTCCTAGAGATACCTGTCATCTGGCCTGGACAACAGCAAAGTTCCTAAGGGTGACTTCCTTCACATTCAGACCTCAGGATTCCTGGATTCTTTTTGAAAATCACTAGTGCCAAAAGCTTTGAAATTATGACTCCAAACTGCTCCGTCTCTGTATTACTGAACTCTGAAGGCATCATCCTTGAGAATGACTTCCTTCTCCCCTTTGACCCTCTCTAATAAACCTTCTCTGTCTTCAGCAAGCCTTGGTCTGGTGCTGTGGTCTGTATTTTATGTGGCACTGCCGGTTAAAGATTCCCTCACCATCCCCTTGACTTACCACCACAGGCACTTTCCTATCCTCAAGCCTGGGCAGGCTCAAACCATCCATGCCCTTGGCTTCTGGGCCACTAGATGACGACGCTGACAAGTATGCTACTTAGGGTTGGGGCCATTGCTAATTCCTGTTATTTAACTTCAGTTGGGCCCTCAGGGAGGCTTCCAGGCTAATCTAAATTTTCTCATATTTCCCCCAAATCACTCACCGTCTTCTTTTTCTCTTTCCTTTTTTCTATTCTTCTCACACTCCTAAACCCACTTTTGCTTTCCTCACAGTTTGACCGTTTCTTGACTTACTCTACTGAGATGATTAGGAACTCCTTCGATTCCAGTGCTTGCCCTTCCTCCACCTTCTTTTCCCTCTCTGAGTACGGCACGTGTTCCCTCCTCCCCAAGGCCCACACAGTCATGATTTTAATCTACCTTCATCTCTTCCATTACTTGCCTCAATGGTTATCTCCCCCCTCAGTCGCTTTCTTTCCACTGACTTCTTTGCCCGCCTAAATGTTCAGTTTCCTTTATACTTCAAAATCAATAAACAGGACTTCCTTTAGCCTTTAGATGCCAAGGGCATTGTGTACCTTCCCTTCATCGTCTACCTTCTCTGCAAGGTGTGCAACAGTCCCTGACTCCTTCCTGTCTAAGTATAGTGACCGTTATCTTCTGATCAAAATATCAGCTGGCCAGTTAGAAGCCCAAACTTCACCCACATGCAGACTACTTATGTAGTTAAACCTCACTGTACCCCACAACTTTATAATAAATAAATGAAAAAATGAATAAATAAATAACAAAAATCAAATCAAATTTTTTTTTAAAAGAAAAAAAAAACAACAAACAGCTGGGCATGGTGGCTCACACCTGCAATCCCAGCACATTGGGAGGCTGAAGCAGGAAGACTGCTTGAGTCCAAGAGTTCAAGGTCAGCCTGGGCAACATAGAGAGACCCCATCTCTATTAAAATTTATTAAAAAATTTTAAAAAAATTAATCGAGTTGCTCCCCTTTTAGAAAAGTGATTTTAGTGAGAAACTGAAAACAAAAATAAATTGTGAAGAGAAAGCTTTCAAATTCGAGCAAAATCAGTGATGCAAGTCTGGAATGATCTTAAACGTGTTCCAGGCAAAATTTTAAAAATCTTGTCTTCCCTATAAAATTCATAATATCCAGATGACCATTTCTTTTTGATTCTGAAAGTCAAGCAGGTGAGCAAGAAACTGCTTCTAAGTATTTCAATACATCTTTAGAACTAAACTACCAAAAATCGACTGCAGCAAAAGTAGAGCCTACCAGATTATACTTGGTTATCTCTAAATTCATAATAAAAAACAAAATTAAAATCAGACACTTGCTCAAACCTGCCCTACTTGGCCCCACCCTCCAGCTTTCTGAATAGTTTAGAAAGTGACAAGATTTCCTGAAAATTGAGTAGAATATGGCCCAATGACAGGGATAGACCACAGTTTCTAGATACTGCTAATTTATGTACGGTAGAATTAGTCACATATAGGTACTCTTCTCAGAAGTAACCGACCAGAAAACATCATCTCAAATTACAGCACTCTGCAGAGGAAATACAAGTAATTCCTAAATCTTATGAAACAGTCACTTGCCTAATATATAAGAGAAGAGATAATGTAATAAAATATGCAAATAATGTAAGATAACATAATATATTCGAAACTGCAATCTATCTTGAAATAGGAATCATATGCTGTTACAGTGAGTCATGAGTGTACTGAATGGCGGGAAATAGCAATAAAGGAGACATAGGCAAACACATTAATAAAAGAAGAGAAAGAAACCTGGTCAGTGTAACCCTAATACATCTAGTGGTTCCATGTGTCTCAGTATAAGCATAACATCACACTCAAAGTAAACACAGATCTAATGCCTTGAAACATAATATAGCCCTTTAAAGCAGGTTTTCTTAGGTAGAATTACTCAGGGATTTTAAATCATGCTCCACAAAGAAACATCCCAGAAGTCTTTTTTTATTGTTTTTTTTTTTTTGAGTCGGGGTCTCATTCTGTCAGCTGGAGTGCAGTGGCACAATCACAGCTCCCTGCAGCCTCAACCTCCTGGGCTCAGGCAATCCTTCTGCCTCAGCCTCCTGAGTAGCTGGGACTACAGGTGTGCACCATCACACTTAGCTAATTTTCTATTTTTGTAGAGACGAGGTCTCACTATGTTGCCCAGGATGGTCTCCAACTTCTGGGCTCAAGTGATCCTCTTGCCTCGGCTTTCCAAAGTGCTGGGATTACAGGTATGATGATTTTCTGTACACCCAGCATGCGTAATTTTAGCGGTGGTTAAAAACATTTCCCACTTTCTCTCATCCTTGCTGAGTTCTTATTGTCTCCCGTCTCCCGTTTACACGTCACTGTGCCCCAGCGCTTAGCTGTGAGCTCCCCTCAAGCCTTCTTCTCTACAACACGGGCCACTCCATGATGGGCCAAAGACCTGGCAGCTCTGTGACCCTCGACCTTTCCTCATGATCCATGGAGCAAAGTTCATAAACTGGACGCTGTAGCTCTTCTCTTGTGAAATTTTTATACACTTTTTGGTTGGTGACTAAATGATCTGTTTCATGTACAGTCACTGTTCTCTCTTAGTTTCATGTTCTGAATAGTTAGTTATTCCACAGCAGAATAGGGCTGTATCTCTGATACCGCCACAGGCTGGAAATATTTACCAGGAGACATAGGAACTTCAAATTCTGATTCTCTGCTCAGATTAAAGTTTCCTATACTGAGTGCTTTATATGAATGAATTCAGGAGCTAGATATTACTATTGTTTATATTTTATTCAGGAGATAGATAGTATTATGATTCATATTTTATTCGTGAGAGAACTAAGGCTCACCTGAAGTCACAAGAGTAGTAAGTCTGAGAGCTGGGATTCTAGCAGGATCTACCTGACTCTGGAACTCATGGTCCTGATCAGCATATTGCCACAATGACATCCTGCTGTTTTGGTTTTGTTTTGAGTCGAGGTTTCATTCTGTCATCCACGCTGGAGTGCAGAGACATAGATCACAGCTCATCTCAGCCTCGACTTCCTAGGTTCAGGCAATCCTTCCGTCTCAGCCTCTTGAGTAGCTGGGACTACAGGTGCATGCCACCG